ATGTTAGCAAAAATAAATGTGAAGTAGACTATCCGGATTCATATGCTGTATCCAATGCTGTGATGTGAAAAAAATAGATAGGTATATAGTCATAAAGTGTTTGTGAAGCAATAAGCTAGTATTTCATATGAATAAAAACGTACCTTTTTCAGTATCAATACCGTAATAAAAATGTATTAAAATAAAAGATGTGATTTGATATCACAATTTCTGAAATAAATTTTACTTGTAATGTGCAAAAAATACATATCACTGATAACAGATTCAAAGCTCTGCTTTTTCCACATTCATATATAATTTATTTCGTTAAACATCATGGAATTTAAAATTTGAGATTGTTTGAAAAAAATGATTATTACGCCATAATTACGTTTTGTCCATATTAATATATTAATATACATAAATCTTTACCAAACAACAAAATGTTTACCATATTAATATTAACACTTTTAATCGTTACTTTGTTTGGATACTGGGTACTTTTTAGGTATGTTCATTTACGTCTAATTTATTTTTTTAGCAAAAATTCTTAATTTGAATGTCAATTCAGTAAGAAAATAGATCAATTACCTTTTTAAACATTTCTTTAATCTTTTCAAGAACATCAGATGCTGATGGTCATCTACTTGAATCATCTTTGTATAGTTTTGATGCTAGATTGGAAAGATCTGTTGGGATGTTGTGGGTGTTGCTTGAAAATATCAAATGTCCAATGTTCCATAAGTCAACTTTTTCATCATGCCTACCCCTCAATACTTCATGTGCATGTTCATTTTCTTTGAGCTGATTTAAAGCTTCTTGTGGAGCAAATTCTGCAAATTCAAAGTCAATTAAAATATATATTTCATTATGTAAAATTATGTTTGGCCATCTGATGTCTCTATGCATTAATGGATAAAGCTTTGTATTGTGTAAACCCTATTGAGTATTAAAAGCATTAGATCTACATATACACATACAATACATCTATGTAAAAACTAGAAGACATCTTGCTTTAATGCAAGTTAATATACAAGTTAATGCTCTTAACAGTCCATTAAAATCTGATGGTTTCCTTTCATCTCCACAAGGCTTTAAATGTACACTTTTACCATGTGAAGCAAATAATTCATCAAAAAATCTTGTAAATATGTTTTAAGTGATTAGCATCTTGTTCTTTAAGAAATATTTTCTTAACTGTGTAACCAATTTCAACCACATTTCCATTTAATCTATTTAACACCTGAAACTCAGGGTTATCTCTTTTGGGGCATAGATCCAATATCATTGGTAATAATCGACCTAAAAACAATGAAATAAGTCAGCATTTTAAAAATAGTTTAAAGTCACTGAGAGCACTTACATATGTTTCTAATGTAAAACATTGCATTAATTCTATCTGATAACCTATTTAAATCAAATACATCAAGGCTTTCACTGTGTATTTTAGTTCATGGTTGTTTCTGGAATGATGTGTGGAGGATTTGTATAAAATAGCAAATGTGACAAGAGCACCTTTTGCATAATATCCAAAAATGTAGGGGGCATCACCATAATTCCAAGTTTCAAAATTTTTCA